TTAGTAGAATTATTTATTATTAATTGTCCAAGAAATAAGGTGAACTACAACCTTAGTATTTCTTGGCCCATTGGGAGTCTTAACCCTAACTTTTTTAGGTCCCTATTGTAGCCTATAAATAAACCATGTGGGGAACTCATTCTCAAGCTAGAGATCATTATTCTCACACGAGAATTATGAGAGCAAGAGGGAGAAGGAGTTCCAACATACGTGTTTGGGAGATCGTCGCTCACACGATGCCAAATCGAGGTTATGGAATACAACAAAAGACATAAGGTCGAACATTGATCAGAGACGCACTACGCAAGACACACAACGCATGCAAACCCCGTGACGCGACACACACGATACGATGAGGCGCGACGAAACCGATCAACGAGGCAAGGCGCGCGAGGCACGCAACAACGCATGATAAGGACGCGCTACGACTAGCAGTATGCGGGGTGTACCGGCGATGCGCGAGACGTGCATGGATGGAGCCGAGGCATGCAAGGAAGGTTGAATAACATTTCAGAACCGTTCGTACGGGCCCGTAGTCCGTGTATGTCTGTACAAAGTCGGCATATACAAACAAGTAAGATCTTGTTCCTAAGCTTTAGATCAGTTGCGCTTTAGGATTAATTTCTTAGGATTCAATAAGCAAATAATAATCGGTGTTCTTCACCAAGTCTAAATAAGTGGGTTGGGCTAGGTCTTTGGTTGGGCCTAAATAGTCTAATCCTCTGTGGTCTTTGGCGAGTCAAGCGTGACAGGCCGCGAGCTAGCTTGCTGAATAAAAAAGATAAAAAGTGAAATAATTACCTCCCACAAGGTTCCTTTTTTGTTTTATGTCCCATAATACCAACATATTCTTCTTTTTCCACTTAAATGAATCTTGGTAAATATTATTTCATATCTCTAAAACATTGTGGCGTGTGTACATGATTTTGTTTCTTAATCAATTTATTGCATAAATAAATCCATTAATGTATTTATTGGAGTGATCTTCATCTGCATTACATATCATTCTTCCTTGTCCCACACTTTACATTTCCTATATAATGAAACCAAAATTTCCTAAATATTGGGAAGAACCGAGACACATGAAATCCGAGAGAGAAAATTGAGTACATAGCTTACTCTTTGAAATGAGATGTATGAGGTTGAAAAGGGGAATGGAATTCTCGAGGAAGTGATGCATGAACTCTTTGAATTTTTCAAAGACAAGAGAAGTATGACCCGAAAAATGATGCAAGTGTTAGCATTGGAGTTGAAACAACTTCAACTTCAAGTTTCGAACATGAAAGTATCAGTACCAAGTCCAGATAAATTTTAAAAGCTAAGTTCAAGAGGCAAAAGCTCGAGGGAGAAGAAGATCTTGATGTTCTAAAGTGGTGTATCAAATTTCGAATGTTTTCGTGTTCTTTCAAAAATGGCTGGGGATATGTTAAGTGTTCCAATATCAACCGTTGCATCGGAGTCGGCCTTTAGCACCAGTGGACGGGTGCTCGACAAATTTAGAAGTTCATTAACTCCTAGAATTGTTGAAACATTGATATGTACACAAGATTGACTCTGAAATGAATGCTTTCCTTTATGTGTTGAAGTGCCACTAGTACAGAGCCCGTGCGATGCACGGGGTGCACAATTTTAAGGCTATTTATCCAGGCTTATAATTATATACATGAATAAAGAAAAATGTACGGGATATATTTATTTGGAGAATATTATATTATAAGATGCAATATTCAATAAAAGTTTATAGTACGCAAGAAAATTGTACAATGTTCAATAAAAGTTTTATAATGTTCAAGTGGAGTCTTAAAGTCTCTTGGACATTAAGACTACTGACAAAATAATATTTTAATCAATGAGCCAAATTGTGAATGTGATTTGACGAGTACAACAAATCGATATATAGCTGACTTGCTTTTTTATTGTAGTTTTTTTTTCTTTTTTTTTTATAATGAATTTAAAGATATTCTAAAATATAGCAAAAATTATTTTTTTATTATAATTAGGAATTTTACTAAATATAGACTCTCACTCTATGGTGTTAATCAACGTTTAAGTCTAAAAAATTAGGAATTTTTACCTCTTTTAATCAACGTTTAAGTCTAAAAAACAATAGAGTTATTATAAGTTTTTTTCTACATCTTTTAAAACATTGAATATGAGCATGTTAGGGCTAGCTTGTAAAATAATTAATATATTATCTCACTAAAACATTTATACTAATAAAAATTTAATTTTAGCATATAATTTATCCCTTGATATAAGAGAAAGTACCAGTTTTACTTATTGTTGTTCACCATATAATATTTAATTATTATTTTATTATATAACAAAAAAGGAATATTGTTAAATAGTGTAGTAGAATTGTTATAAAATTATATGATTTTTTTTTTTTACAATATGGATTTAATATTTTTTTATGATTTGATAATATAAACAAATCTATATTCAACTTTGACAAATAAAACAAATAAATACTTTAGTAAATATTTAACATATATACTAAATAGGAATATATTGGTATAATCAAATACCAAATATAATCAAATAAGTCAAAGTGTACATTTTTATTTGGTATTTGATTTTTTTATTATTAAAATCTTTTTATTATACTTATCTTTTTAAAATAAAACAAATAAATAAATTAATTAAATAAATAAAATATTATAATACAAAAATAGTAATGACATTTAATGCAGTTGACTTTTTTGGATAGTAAATGTAGTAAATAGAATCTCCTTTTATATAAGTATAGATATGATATTATATTATGTTGCTCAAAATAGTAATGCATTTATTGCATTGACTTTTCAACTTACTAAATTTCGTAAATGGTACACCTTATTATATAAGAATAGATTAGAAGAATAGAAATGCTTGAAAAATGTATTGTTGATGTGCATATACTTTGCATTTTTTTTTTTTTTTATTATGATAAATATCCTATTTTTAGTTAGTTTCATTTTCAGATTTGTGCTTGTGGGGATTGGACAAACATTGTGAAGTACAAATTATGAAATTTGAGGTAACCACTATTAAATTTCATTCTTTTCAATTGTTCTAAAATTAATTGGTATAAGATGTAAACTTGTTGTTTTTGGTGCTTTTTTGGGCTATCTTTTGCTACTTTTAGGTTCATTTCAGGGATGTATTGAAGGAGTGTTGCTATTGTTTTGGGATAAAACTTTGGTAGCTTTTCTAAGCTCATTTCTGGGCTTTTTGGAGGCCTTTTCGAGACTGTTTTGTGGGACTTCTATTGCTGTTTCTGGGAGGACAATGGAACTATGTTTTGTTGTTGCTTTTGTTTTATTTATGAGAGTGTTTTATTTTGAATTGATGTAGTTTTTATGGACTTTAGGCATTCTTTTCTGACTTGTTTTAAGCCCTTTTCTGAACTTATTTTAGGCCTTTTTTTGGAGTTGTTTTGGGCTGTTGTCTTTATTGTTTATAGGTTGGACTTGTTGGATTTGGATTGTGAATTGAAGTGTTTAATTTGCATGTGATTTTTTGTTGAATTTTTGTTGTCTGGACAATTGCATTGGGCCAAAGGACACACAGACGTCTCATAGTCAAAGCATTGCCACTTTAACGACACGCAATTTTTGTTCACATCATTGTAGCCATATAAAACTTCTTCTACCAAAATACGAGAATTCTTCAAAAAATAAAAAAAAAAAACACTGCAGAAATCCTTGAAGATCAATCCTTGCAATACTCCTTTCCAAAGTCAAAGTTTTACACATTAGAATGCTGCATCGACAAAGGTGAAAAAATTCACATGAAATAACACAAGAAATATACCTTCTTGTAACTAAAAATAAACTAAAAAATATCAGTTGAACAAGAAATATACCTTCTAGTAACTAAAAATAAACTAAAAAATATCAGATGAACAAGGAATATACATTCTAGTAACTAAAAATAAACTACAGAAATAACTCGAAAAAAAAAAACAAGAAATAAACTGTTAATTTTTCTGATTATATTTCCATAAACTTAAATTTATTATAATAAACAAAAAATAAACTAATCCTAAACTACAAATAAATTCACGTGAAAGGAGCTTCAGATCGACCCCAACCTTCTTCTACAACATGGTTTGGTAATCCATCTCCGCCCGAGTTCAGGTCGGATCGCTTAAAATAAACAAAACAAAATCATAATCTACAAATAAACTACCTAATTTTGAGATTAAATTCGACAAGCCATTGATCCCGCATCTTCATCTAATTTTTCAGACTGCTATGGCCTCTTGTTGGATATGGTTAGATGCCTGAGCACAAATCGGATTGTTGTAATGCATCGTTGTCGAGCGATTCCAATTTCTTCACATCACCGTCGAGTGATTTTAATAGCAATTTCAATATTTTCTCAACACCATCAAGTGATTTCAATTCCAATTTCATGGTGGCATGGTGTTCGTGAGGGAGAAAGGGAAAAAATAGAGAGGCGGTTGTTGATATGGTGATGTGTATTTGTGGAGAAAATTATGATGAAGATATAAGAAATTGATAGAGAGAAAAGAAAGAAGTGGCGAGTTGAGGTTAAGAACTGAAGAAGAATAAAATAATGTTATCACTTCTTATCGTATTAGATACGCAATTCTCATTCTTTTGTAAATAAAAACAAACTCACGTTTATTGGCTAATAAAACATATTTGTATCGTATGTGGAGTAATTATCTCATTGTATTTGGACCCAATGAAAAAGACCCATATGTTTGGGCCAACAAACAATCCAAAAAATAAAATTGTTTGTATAAGTTCTGTTAACAGACCGACTAATATGGTTCGGCTGAACTTTGGTTTTAAGTCCATATTTCAGTCGATTCGATTTTTAAAATTGAATGATTCGGGTAATTTAATTTTTGTAGTTCGGTCACGGACCAATGAACACCCCTAAATCCTGTATGCCAAAAAGAAAAAGAAAAAAAGAAAATTGGCTATGGAATTTGATCTTAAAACATTGACCGCCACAAAATCATGCGACCAACGGACCAAGTCCAAGTCACCGCCGGGTTTGTCATATAGACTAATCAAATCTGTTTTACAACTTGACACCAAATTATTCATTACTTACACAGAAAAATCAACTGCGCTAAATCTCCTAATCCCGTCAATATTATTAGCTTTGCATCTCTCTTCCAATTTTATTTTAAAAAAATAAAATCCGCCATCAAAGCAAAAACAAAAAGCTGTGCAAAAGAATGAGCAGATGGAAGGTGGTGATCACAATTATGTACACTGTTGTTATACTCCTTCAGTTGAGCTCCCTGCGGTTGGTGCAGTGCCAATTGCCGAGCCCAGCTTCTTTTGATTTGCTCACACAAATGGCGTACACAAGGCTACAAAATCTCACCTCAAACATCCTCTCCACTAGACTCGTCCAAGATTACAGCTTTTGCATTCATAACCCGTAATCATTGTTCTTCTTTTTTCGTTTCTGCTTTATTAATCTTCACTATCTTTATTTTTTTATTTTTTATTTTTTGTTCTAATATTGATTTATAGGGAAGCCGAATGGAATAGAGCTTTCAATTATTCCTCGGATTTAAGTTTCTTGACTGCTTGCCTTGCCAGTACTGGAGGTGATATATAATTAATTAATGTTGCTTTGTTTGAATTTCATAATCGAAGGGATGTTAATTCACGCAGTAGAAAGAGATTCTGATTTTGAACTTGTCATATTAATAGTTTTAGATCATCATTTATTTCATTAGGAAAATGTTTTGAAGTTCGTTCAGCTGGTTGTAAGTCAAAACTGAATCAGACTGCAAACAAAAGGGGGAAAATGTATATTTAGTGAGATTTGTATTAATCAAAACTGAAACAAAGGAAATTTTAAATGAAATATTCTAAGATTAGTAATTTTAAATGAAATATCTAGTGTGTTGATTCTCTTCATTTTTTGTATATTTGTGCACAGATGTTGGTCGGCGATTATGCACATCAGCAGAAGTTTCAGTTTATTTTGATAACTTGAGGAATGGAGGAAATAACCTAAGGCCAAACAGGAACTGTAATTCTTCTCATTGGGTGTCCGGTTGTGAGCCTGGATGGGCTTGCTCAGCCGATCCTGATGAGTCAGTTGACCTCCAAAATTCTCGAGTTATGCCTGCAAGAGGATCCGAATGCAGTTCATGCTGTGAGGGCTTCTTTTGCCCGCAAGGCCTCACTTGCATGATGCGTGAGTAATCGGCATCTGTTTTTGTTTTTTGATTTGTAATAGCTTTTTATGAAGGAGAACTAAACAATGTCGATTTTCCTTAACTTAATTGGTGAAAATATCATTCAATTGGGTAGCTTGTCCACTGGGTTCTTACTGCCCACTTGCTACTCTCAACAGAGGTACAGGAAGATGTGAACCGTAAGCTCAATCCTTTCTGTTTTCAATGTAAATTTTTATCTTCGGCTGTAATGTGAGTTGTTTGATTAATGTGTAATTGCTGCAGTTATTCCTACCAACTTCCACCAGGACAAAGGAATCACACTTGTGGTGGTGCGAATATTTGGGCAGATGCTCGTTCGAACAACGAGCTTTTCTGTTCTGCTGGTTCCTATTGCCCCACAATTACTGAGAGAGTGCCGTGTAGCAGTGGGTTAGTAGCTTGTATCACAAATTTAACTTGTTAATATTTATAATTTGGAGCCCCAAGAAAGAGTAATTTTTTTTTTAATAGTGATTTTAAATGCTAAAGCTTCTTGCTTGATTTCTCAGGAATTACTGTCCAATGGGATCCACGGATGAGAACCGTAAGTTTGTTCGTAATCTGAGTAAAAGTGTTGTATAGTATATAACTTTTCTTTCCCTTTTCACAATGTTGAGAACATATTACATATAGAACTCATCGCAACACATTTAATGCTAAACATGCAGGATGCTCTAGATTGACAACGTGCGATTCGAGTACAGAAAGTCAAAATATTCATGCATATGGAGTTGTGCTCATTGTAAGCTTTTCCCTTTGTATATCTTCTTTTCTCTTTCCTATATACATAAACTGGCCGAATATATAAAAAGATAAGAAATTTATGCAAGTCAATCGCATCAATTTAACAACACTTCCAAAAAATGCAACATTTTTCAAGAATGCGTTATTAAAACAGCATTTTCCTCTCTTACTCTTTTTATGCATATTACAACATTATTTGCAGGTTGCATTGACTACTATTCTGCTTATTATATACAACTGCTCGGATCAAATCCTGACCACACGAGAAAGAAGATACGCCAAATACAGAGAAGCCGCTGCAAGAACTGCCAGGGAGAAAACACAAGCTCGCGCCAGGTGGAAGGCTGCTAAGGATGCTGCGAAAAAACATGCCATCGAGTTACAATCCCAACTCTCGGGCAAATTCTCTAAGAAGAAGTCCCTCAAAAACACAGACGAGATCAAGATTTTGGATCCCGAGGCAAATGACGATCACTTGCATCCAACCACTTCAGATGCATCGACTGGAAAAGAAGATGACCACATCATCGAGCTTCATGATCCAGAGCAGCGGAATAAAATTGTGAAGAAAAAAATCCATAAAGAAAAGGAAAAGGAAATTCATACGCATAGTCAGATTTTCAAGTATGCTTACTCGCAGCTAGAGAGAGAGAAAGCCGAGCAGCAGCAGCAGAACAAGAATCTGACATTCTCAGGCGTGATTTCAATGGCCACAAAGAGCGATACAAGGAAAAGACCACTGATCGAGATTGATTTCAAAGACGTAAGTGTGACTCTAAAAGGAAAACATAAGCGTCTTATGCGAGCTGTGACAGGGAAGATAAAGCCGCGCCGCATAACGGCAATCATGGGTCCATCAGGAGCTGGAAAAACAACTTTTCTCTCTGCTTTGGCGGGAAAAACAGTCGGTTGCACGGTTAGCGGTACGATTTTGATTAATGGGAAGGGAGTTTCGATTCATTCGTACAGGAAGATCGTCGGTTTTGTTCCGCAAGATGATATCGTGCATGGGAATTTGACCGTGGAGGAAAATCTGTGGTTTAGTGCTCGGTGCAGGTATTTTGAATAATGCGAGTTGAATACGGAAATTTTTATTTACTCACTGTTATGTCAGTTATAGCTGTTAAAATTATACTCCCTCCTATTTTTAGTAAGTGTCGTCTTGAGAAGTTTCACAATAATTCAGAATATTTTTTTTGCCAATAATAACCCTCATTAATGAAGATAGAGATGGATGTTTTGAGAAAAGATAAAGAGTGAATATGAAAAACGTAGTATAATTATTAGTTAAATGAGGGTAATAATGGAAAAATATGTACAAAAGATCCAAAACGTCATTTATTTGGTTAATGGTTGATAAAACTAAAATGACATTTAAAAAAAATAGGAGGTAGTATGAATTATTGAGCAGGTGATGATGATCCTTCATTTTATTTTACTTTACTATCTCTCATTTACTTTTGAAATGTGAAGACTATCTGCAGATTTGTCAAAGGCGGATAAGGTACTTACAGTAGAGAGAGTGATTGACTCGTTAGGACTGCAGGGAATTCGGGGTTCTTTAGTTGGGACTGTTGAGAAACGAGGTATATCTGGAGGCCAGAGGAAAAGAGTGAATGTTGGTATTGAGTTAGTTATGGAACCATCTTTGTTGTTCTTGGACGAGCCTACATCTGGTTTGGACAGCTCGTCTTCTCAGCTACTTCTTAGAGCACTTAGACGAGAAGCTCTTGTCGGGGTCAATGTCTGCATGGTTGTTCATCAACCAAGGTAAATAATAATACAGCCATAAACCATAAACCATTATTATTATTAGGAAAAATTGCACTTTTTGTCCTGATGGTTTAACGCCATAGCAATTTTAATCCTAAGGTTTCAACATTTTGCTTTTCGTCGTGTGATTTAATATTTTGCTGCAATTTCAATCCGTTGAGATTGAAATTGCAACGATTGAAATTGCAACGAATTCCCAAATTCCTAAATTTTCAATTAGCATATTAAGTCCTGTAATTTAAAATTTTGTTGCAATTTTAGTTCTGTAATTTAAGGACTGAAGTTGCAGCAAAATATTAAATCACAGCACCAAAAGGACAAAAACTTAGAATCTTAGGACTAAAATTGCTATGGCGTTAAACCAACAGAACTAAAAATGCATTTTTGCCTTATTATTATTATTATATTGTTATTATTATTATTATTATTATTATTATTATTATTATTATTATTATTGTTGTTGTTGTTGTTGTTGTTGTTGTTATTGTTATTGTTAATGTTATTGTTAATCTTTATGAAATTTGAGTAACAAACCTTTTCCTATCTCCACCTTTTGTGTTACTTCACAATGTATACTTTTTTTTTTCTTTGTTTGCAGCTATACATTGTTCCAAATGTTTGATGACTTGGTACTCCTAGCCAAAGGAGGTCTCACCGTTTATCACGGGTCTGCAAGAAAAGTTGAGGAGTACTTTTCAAATCTTGGGATAAATGTTCCCGAGCGCGTGAATCCTCCAGATTACTTTATTGATATTTTGGAAGGGATGGTTAAGACGAGCTCGAGCTCGGGTGTGAGTTACACTGAACTTCCTCTGAGGTGGATGTTGCATAATGGCTATCCTATTCCTCCGGATATGAGAATTAATTCTTCCGGACAAAATATCCAAAGTTTGGAGGTTACTGATCACAACCATGGTTTTGACGTGGAGGATCAATCTTTTGCGGGGGAAGTATGGCAAGATGTTAAGGCTAGCGTGCAGCGTAAGCGTGATAGAATAAGGCACAATTTTTTGAAGTCTACTGACTTGTCCTACCGTAGGACCCCGAATATTTTCTTGCAGTACAAGTATTTTCTTGGGAGGTAAATGATTCGAAACTTTTCGTCTGAAATTTGATTTTGACAATAGCGATATAACTGTGTTTTTTCAATGGTAAACAATAGAAACTACAGTTGAGATTTAGTCCAATTACATAAAGATTTATGTTATTTTTTCAAATTGCGAAATCGTCACATAACTGTATGTTGGGTTCTATGAGGAATGCCATATATGTGATATATTCCAATTTGCACAATTAATTCCTACACGTAGCGGATCTAAAAAATAGGATTAATTATATTGTTAATTAGTGCTTTATACTTAAGCAAAACTTTTAGTATACCAACCAACACTGTAAATGTTATTGCAGTCATAAAAATTAAGTTAGTATTATAACTATACAAACACTTCAAGTTTTTTGGTCACAGAAAATTACATGGTTTGCGATGCCTTTCGGTAACTATATGAGAACTTTGGGTTCAGGCATAATTGTATTGGAATTTGAAAGGCACAATTAGTAATATTAAGACCAAATTGAGACATTGATATATAGTTAATCCAACTATTTTGAAGATCGTGCATTTCGAAGGACCATCTTGCTACGGACCTAAAGTTACAGACTGAATTTGCAATTTTGCCTTGCAAATAATCTGGCTTGACATTTGCTTCTATTTCGCAATTTGAACCCATTAACAAGGGGTGAGCGTTAAGAAAATCGACCTTCTGTCATATGTGAAAAATTTTCAGGCTATTTAAATGCCTGTTTCTTTGTAGCTTGGTTGATAACTGTTTTATGTCAACAAAAGTTGATTTTTATATTCTCAATCTCAGGTTGAGTAAGCAGCGAATGCGAGAAGCCAAAACACAGGCAGTGGATTATCTTATCCTTTTAATAGCTGGGGCCTGTTTGGGTTCACTCACAAGGGCTAGTGATGCAACCTTTGGTTTTGCTGCTTATACATACACATTAATTGCTGTCTGTAAGTCTACAAGTATTTCAGCTCTGTTGTGCAAGATTTCAGTAAACTATTAATGCTTACTGTACAATCTACCAATTTCAGCTCTGTTATGCAAGATTGCGGCTTTGAGATCGTTTTCTCAGGACAGGTTACAATACTCGAGAGAAAGCGCAGCTGGCATTAGCAGCTTGGCTCATTTTTTGTCCAAGGACACAATCGACCTTTTCAACATCCTAATAAAGCCTGTTATCTATCTATCCATGTTTTATTTCTTCACCAATCCAAGGTCATCCTTCGCGGATAACTATGTTGTCTTGCTCTGCCTCGTTTATTGCGTGACAGGCATAGGTTATGCTTTGGCCATATTTCTTGAACCCGGGCCTTCTCAGCTGGTACTGTAATTATCTATTTTGTATTTAGTATTTACAGTTAGTTATTAATCGGAGGTCTTCTGATTTCTTTAAGGTTTGACTTGATTGACTTTGTAATATATTCTCTGCAGTGTTCGGTTTTACTTCCAGTGGTGTTGACTCTTATTTCAACCCAGTTAAACGCGAGCATCTTCGTAAAGAATTTATCCAACTTTTGTTACCCAAAGTGGGCCCTAGAAGCTTTTGTCATTGCAAATTCCGAAAGGTATGCGGCGATTTCATAATTATGAGTATTTTTAAATTTCTTATAGAAAATTTGATTTCACATAACGTTTTATTGTTTAAAAAATGATGAAGGCATTTTATTTGATGACAGGTATTATGGTGTGTGGCTTTTGACAAGATGTGGTGCGCTGATGAGGTATGGATACAACGTTGGTAACTGGGGGCTCCGCTTATGTTTGTTGATTCTTGCTGGTGTAGCCTCTCGTGCTATAGCTTTCATTGCTATGATAACTTTTCGAAAAAAGTGATTTAGAAAATCTCCTAAGTATCAAGTCACACGATTCCAGCATCAACTTACAGNCAGTTTGCATTCTTTGATTGAATGTTGTAACATTTTGTGGAGTGTAAAGTACACGTTGTAGTCTATAAAACAAGAACGCTATCAACTTAACAACGTTTTTATTGTTGATTTATTATTCTTTCCTACATTCTTTTTCTAAGTGTAATGGCCCTGCATTCGGATGTGAATGTGATTTTTTTTTCATCGAACATCATATTTCATTACTAGAACAAAACAAGCCAACTAAACTAAGGACAAAGCAAGAAAACACAAGATTGTGTTCCTGGCTAGAAAACAAGCCCACAAACTCACATCGTAGCTTTAATCGTAACTAACAATTACAAATCAAAAGATGCACAACAAAATTAATAATAGGAAATATGTATATAGAACACGATTGAAAACAAAAGTATGATTGGAGATTGGACTATAACATGAATGAATGAAAACAAAAAATCACTAATGTATAATACGAATTTGCAAACAAAATTGACATAACGTCGTTGGTCTTGAAATATCGATTCTCAATTCAAAATAAACAAGGACACATATAAAAAATTTTACCTTCATGTCTCAGTGCGTGCAAGTGATTGTACAAGTGATTGTAATACAACAGAAACATCGAATACGCAATGGACATGAAATAAGATTTTTTGTTCATCGTTTCAAAAAAAAAGGAAAAAAAAAAGATTTCTTCGACATTTTTGAGCGGTGAAGAGAAATTTGGAGTTAAATAAATTGAAATGCAATTTACGAAGAGAAATTTGGAGTTAAATAAATTGAAATGCAATTTACGAATATTTGGTGGTTTATTTGAGATATATGATTTTGCATTTATGTGTAGGTTTAATGTTAACAAGAAAATAATTACCTGTCAAGTAAATATATAAAAAGTTTCTAAGTTTTTAAAGTAATGATATTTTATTATTCACATATAGCATTTTTCAAATTTTTATTTAATTAATTCTGAGCATGGACATTGTAACATTTGAAGGGATACATGTTATGTATGTACAAGACATACATATATAAAATGTTATGTATGTAACATTTTTCAAATTTTCCTTGTTCTTTTGTAAAGATGAGTTAACTATGGAGATCCTCTTAAGAAGGTGATCCTACCTCAGCCAAATACAATGTAATTGTAATAGAATAGCATAGATACAATTAACATTACACGACAGTGATTTGTAGGAATCTAAAAGGGCCTTGCAAAAAGCACAATTTGTACATAGGATCTAACAACATTTCTTGTACACATCCGATGTAAGGCTCTTACAGTTCAAATTCCATCAGTCAGCAGCAAGAACTCAAAGATTGCAGCATACAGATACACAATCAGTTATGTATAAAAGGAACNAATGCTGAATAAAGTTAAATATGTTCAATCCTATTTTCCTTGTCTGTAGGTCCGGTTCCTTCTGTCAGCTGTTTTGATATTCCAAAAATGATTTTTAAGTCTAAGAGACTTCCATTTGGAAAGAAAGATATGATACCTTAATGTGCAGATGAATGAGAAAAAAGGTACCGTTTCTGATTATATTCCAAAGTTGTGCACCAAAGTACATTAGGCTGATACATGGTTTATGCTACAATCAGGACTCCACAAAGACCTGCATTAGAAAGAAATAAAAATTTCAAACCAAGGAAATCCATGAGAGAGTTGTTTTGTATTACTATTTAACCCTATTAAGCTGAATCTCAGGACCCTCTCTATTGTTTTTGTTCTTATTTTGAAACTATGATCACAATTGAAGATTATTCCAATGATCTTCTAATTGTAAAACACGAATTTTAAATCTCAAGATGATACAAATCAATTAGGTTGACTTGTCTCATGATTCTGGATTTTAATGTGGAAAAACAAAGCAACATAATCAAAGTAACAATTTTTTTTTTTTTCAATCCAGTGTAGCTTTTCTTCAGATGTTACTCATTTCAGTGTGCTTCAAATCAAGTTGCGTAACTTCTAAAGTTGGACGAGACGAAAAAAAGAAACTTAAACAAAAAAAAAAGTTAAAAGAAAGTTACCAAAAATGCTGTTACTATTAGCACGTATTCACTTCCAAACAACGTCCCCTAAAAACTGCAGAGCTGGAACACCCCTGATTTCCACATCAACAAGAGGTGCCTCGATCATTGTCAAACCTGAAAGCTCCGGATCATCTCGAATCATGCTAAGAGCTCGAGTTTGATCCTGAAATAAAATAGTTTGCCATTTTATGACAAAATATATGGGGAAAAACAGTAAGGTGTTCTCGTCATTTTGTAATTATTTCAGAATATATGCCGTTTTTCATAATCAAAGCACACATCTCTATCTCAACACTGGCTGAGAGTGGTAAGCATAGGGAAGTGTATAATGAACCTGAAAATTTTTGGACTGCACAATAGCTTATGACTCAAAAAAGCAAGCAAAATACATTATACCTTCCTCTTCATTGCACAGAACTTGCAGTCAGAGGCAGATGGGGGAAGGATTTGGTTAACAACTAGCCTCTTCACAGGAACACTTTCTTTCCTTAAGGAAGAACACAATCTTGATGATTCACTGATTGCCATCACCTTCAAATTAAGATCCAAATTTCAGGGAGACTAAAAATTAATCTCCAAAAAGTTATGCCAGCCCACCTTTGAAACCCACATTGTAACAATTTCTAAAGATAAATAACATGTACATATTTTTTATGGTTATTTCTTTTAAAAGGTCATATTGGTAGTATCTAGTTACAATAAGTCTTTATCTTTGAAATTGTAATACAGCCACAACATTTTTTTCGGTTTCATAAATGGCAATCTCAAAGGAATATTGTCGGTATTTTTAATTGTAAAGGATAACTGGAATTTTTCACAGTTACATTAGCCTTACGATCATTAATTATCCCTTGTTTTTAAAGAATAAGTAGCATAAAACATCAAAAAATGCATTCACACACTGGCAAAAACCCAGAAGTGAGTACAAGTCTTTCAGATTGGGTCAGTTACTTGCAACACACTACTTTTGACTTGATTCATCTAAAACAATAATACACGGTGCATTACATTACCGTAGGAATTGTTACGATTACAAACTCTGTAGAGTTTGTATCACGAAAAAGCTCTCTGACTTTTATCATTCTTTGCCTTAGTATCTCCAATTTGTCAGCCTAACATATAGACAAATAATTATGTTAGGGTCCAGCGGGGTAAAATGCCGCTAGTAATAAAATGACTTACAGCATCTTGTCTGTTTTCTTCCTGGCCAAAGACAGATTTTATGGCTGAAGTAGCTGAAGATATCTTCTGCTTTAGCTGCAACATGCAATGCCAGAAAAGATGAGTCAAGATAACTAAACCATGTGGTCATCACGAAAAGAGTTTGTCTATGTAAAATGAATAACGGTTGGTAGTTAATGCCCTGGATTATAGTGTTTACTACTTTGCTTTTGGTGTACACATCAAATTATAAAGAGAACATCTGGAAGCTTAAAGATGATCGTGTGAAGAAGGTTAGAATATTAAGTGAACAGATCAGTCCCAATTTAAAAGTTCATAGCCAGAAAAAAAAAAAAAGACAGGGAAGGATTCCACTAACTGAAGTCCCCTATTCGACAATGGAAGATTACTCATTTTTACTTCATGCAGGTGAGTTAGTTTCCATCCTCATTTGTTGATGTGTTTCAGTTCATAAATTCCTTAAATTCACTGTATTGAATCTACAAACAGAATATCAGGTCAACCGATGCTTTTGACTCTACAAAAAGAGGAAGTAAATGAACACGAACTACGCATGATACATTTATCCCATTGTTCAATATCTTTACCTTCAGTATCTTCCCAATTGATGCATCCAAAAAGTCTGGCAATGACAAAAGTCGTAATGTGTGGCCCTGAAAAACAGCCCATCAGAAAAATGGACCTTTGATAAATGGAGCTAAATTAAAGGAAGTATAATTGTGTTCACCGTGGGGGCCGTATCAAACACTATCCGCGTGAACATGTTGTACTCTTGTGATTCAAGAAATTGAATAACCTAAAAGAAATGTCCCTCAAATCAGTAATGGAAGAAGAAACATAAAAAGATTTCTTTCTTACCAACAGAATATCAGCAAAATTTTATAATTTTACAACAGACATGCCTTTGAAATTGCAATGGCTTCATCAAGACCTGGAGGAGGGGTATCCAGCAACTCACCAAGCTTTAATTCTCCAAGCTATTGATATATAAAAGAAAAATATAAATTTTCTAACAAGCTGCAAATGTAACAAAATTTAAAAATTCCACATGTTATTAGACATCATTACCAAAGCACATTACTTTCAGTACAAAGAGGCTTGAAATAACAAAACAAGACAGTTTGTGTTCAAGGCTGATCAGAATAACAATAACACACAGAAAGTCTAAACTTTGTCATTTCTCTTGACTGAAAATCCACAGTACAGAAAAGCAGTTATACTATATTAAAAGAGTTAGTTACAAAGCCATAGCTAATAAACTCATCAATTTATCACTGTGTTCGGAAGTAGACATTCAATTGGTGATTCAGCTACCGTGGTTTTACCAGAGCTAAAGTTGATTCCACAGACATAACATGATAACGCACTCAACCATAAAAAACAAATGGCAAACCCTAAGACATAATACTAGCACATCAATAGAAAGTGCAAATATGTTTCATGTCTTGCTACTGAGTGAAGTTTTGAAACCGCTGTGAAAGACAATTCTTAATTCCACCTAAAATTCAATTTTAAGTGTAGTGATTTGCCACGAAGATTCATAAATTGAAATAGTGATACTGTTTTTAAAAAGAAAAAGAAAATTGATCTTATTAAGTTGATTTACAATTAATTAATAACGATATATAGAAAATGAAAATACAGAACAAGACTAACTATGTTAGTACTTCTTTCAAACTATTATTAATTTCCAGTTAAATATACACTCATCTATTTATTTAGTGAATTAGTCAGAAATATACACAAATGATTTTTCTACAAGTGAACATGGGTCTACCTGGTCTGCAATCAAACCCAAACCCATGCCATCCATGAAGTCCTTGACTCCAGTTCCACCATTTTTCTGGCTGGCACTCCGAAATTCTTCTCTTGCCTTTTCAGGATTTATCTGTGCCAACAATACAGTCAATTTGACTACTCGTTTTTTGAAAAAAAAAATGTCCAAAGAAACACATTTCCACTAACCTCAAGGGCAAAAAGTGGAGAAAAAGGACCCACCACAGGCACTAGCGTCCCCCCAGCCAAATCCTTCATAACGTAAGCACACTTCAGCTGATCACTTCCCATAAAGATGAAAAAACTACAATCGAAAGAAAAAAAATGATAATTGAACCTGTGCAAAAGAATCACTCAAGGAGTGTGCAGGATCAGTTGAAACCACAAGGGTAGGATGGCCATTGTTTGCAAACTTGACAGCAAGTGAAGCAGCACAGCTAGTTTTCCCGACACCTCCTTTTCCTCCGAGCATGTAATATTTCCGTTGAGTTCCAGACACCATTTCATCAAAGCCAGCAACTGATTCAGTTGGAGCAGCCACTGATTTTACTGCAAAAATAAAATAAATAAAAAATCAAATTTTAATCAAATCAAATCAAGAAATTATCAACAAGCAAAACAGGATTAATGTACTTTGTGAGCGCTTTATGCTCCGGAATATGCTTAGTACATTATCTTCTAACAATTAAGAGGAATCTTTTTAATTCGATGTTCGTGGGTAGGGAAAGAACTAACTAGTGCAAAGAGCTTCTTCATACTTTTGAATTAAAATCCTCAGAGGCCAATCCTTCCATATTATATTAAGGTACAAAAAGTCCATTAACAGTTTCCAGACAGATCATTCACATCATTTATATATGCAAACTGAGTCATCCATTCAAGAAATTACTTTTTTTTTCCCTTGTCTAAACTACCTAGACTGTAAACTAATGAATCATCGAACATAAATAGTCTCCAAACTGAATTCTCTCTAATCAAAATAAAAGCATAAATGAATCTGCTATCGAATTAAACTAACAGGGGCTATCAATAGGAGGAACTCTCTACCAAATCCACTACGTAGTACTAACCAACATAAGACACTTAATAATTAAATTAAAAGAAAATTAAAATTGGGTTAAGGGATTCAGGCGCTTACCGCTAAACTTTCTGGCCACTCTTCTAGACGAAAAACTGGATTTCAAGAAAATTGGCTTCGTTTGGGGGAAAGAAGCGAACTGGGATCCAAGCGAGAGAAAATTCTCACCCAAAATGGTCATAGGTTTTAAAGATGTGAAACTGTTGGTGGACAAAGAACAAGCCATGGCTGGTAAAATTTGCAGCACGACACAGGTCTAGAAAGGAAGAATATCCAACAATTTATATTGTTTGCTAGAATATGCACAGTTAAACAACATTGATGGCAGTGTCTGATACAAATATATTTTCTCAAAACCAGTTTTTTCTGTTTAATTATGGTTAATTTTGAAAAGTTTAATAGGATTAGTTGTTAGTGGAATTTTAAGTTTATATTAAAATAATTTTTAAAAGTAAGAGATAGATGATGTGAAGCAATGATTAGTGAAAATTATATGAATGGATGACTAGTAAAGTAAAATTAATTTGATGCATAAGAATAAGAATGATTGTTGATAATATTTAATTATATTGATAATATTGAAGATAGTGAAGTTTGTGAAAGTTGAGTTAGATTTTTAAATATGAATGAGAGAAATTTATAAACAAACACCCTGAGAATAAATTGTTGAACAACATTAAATAACATTTAAAAATTTAAAAATGTAGATTAATATGTAATACAATTCAGATAAATTAATTTATGAAAAAGGTGATATGAAATTTAGTTAATAAAAAATGCATAAATTGTGTCTATCTACAACATTTTTTTTCCAAAACGATAGAGGTACTATATTAATAAAACCGCACAAAGTGGGAAAAGAAAGTAGTCAAAAACTGAATAGTACAACCAAAAACTATAAAACTGGGAGGCAGATTCGGAGATCGCCTAGAACAGACTAGCAACGCTAGAAAACAAAAACTCCTAACTAAATTAAACAACACACGAACAACTAAAACAAACTAAAAAGACCCCAACGGAGTAATGCCCGAGTGTCGGATCCCAACAGGATAATAAATTGGACACCCGGGCTCACAGAGGCCAAACGGCCCAAACCAAAAACACAAACCTAAAACACATAGACAAACACGAACACATAAACAAAACACTAAACACGAAAAACTAGAATAAACTAGCAGCCCTTCCCCAGCAAACGGAGAAGCCTAAACCAGCAGTGAACAATCGACACAAGACAAATTCCAGGCCAAGAAACTGCTACCGAAACTGCAATCAAACCTACACAGTAGAAGAAACCTAACCCCGAACGAGTCCCCGAATCGACCCATCAAAGACCTAGAGAGCCATCGTCAAACCCACACCGATTCCACCCGAACTCTTCTAACACCACTAGATGAGCCGAAAGAACCTCCCTCGCCGTCTAACACCACTAGACAAACGGGGGACTGTGAGAAAGAACCGGCCCTCAACCCCGTCCGCCGCAACGGAAGCCGTCGCAGCAGCTGGAGCCACGCCCATCCACAGCACCACACACCACCGAGCACCACAAAAATCCGCCGACCAACTACCAAGGCCCCACCGGAAGCCCCGCCGGGGAAGGCAGGATCGACCAAAGGGGACATCAAGCGCAAACAGAATCCGAAAGAGAGAGAGGGCTTACCTCCGCCAATCGAGGGGCCGGCGACTGGGAGAGAACACCCCATCGCAAACCGGACTCCGACCAAAGAGACGACACCTCGAACATCAGATATGCCGGCGACCGAAGTCAGAAACATTCAGCAGAACCGTAGCAACATCGGGGCGCACGACAACCTGGACTAACGAGAGGTCGGTGACGACCGCTGGCCAAGCTCCGCCGGCACGGCACCGAGGAAGGCGAATCGATGGCGATTGAAAGAGGAGCGGCGGTCTAGGTTTTTTCAGAGAGAAATTGGGGCGAGTAAACGATTTCTTTTTTCTCCATAACATTAAAAGCGCATAAATATTACGTAACATGTGGAGAATAACTAAAATGTTCTATAATTTTTTATGACGTGTGGAATCACCTAAAATTTTTTAAACTATTATTAGTAAATTCTTGGTGTGTAAAACTTGTCTCCAAACTAAGCTCTGGACCCCTGCTTTTATGGGAAGGGGGGGTTCTTTAAAATATTATTTCTTCAGGACGCGTGGGGACTTTTGATTGGATGCATGGTGACACGTTTTCGGCAACTTGAGCAAGTGGTTTATCTTCTAGGGCAGTGTAACTGGTTCAGGGCGACAATCCTTTTCACACTAGCTTAAGACCGAGTTCAGAAGGGATGGGATCGGCTGGAGGATAGCCTTACTTTTGCAAGTGATCGACATGTTTACCTCGTAGCAAGGAACGAGGTCGGTTGGTTGGCAGGATCGACATTTATCTTTCTTCTTGATTGTAATACTTTCGGGTATTCGGACTTTAAAAATGTTGCGTGGGTTGGGCTGTAGATGGTATCATAAATATTTTAGGTGTCTTTATTTTAGATAAGACAAAATTTCGTATCAACATAAGGCCCCCCAAGTTTCTAAGACCAGGCGGGAACTTTGGCTAGTCGTAAGAAGCTATGAGTGAGATCGACTTCAAGCGTCTGCAAGTGGGTGCGCTGAAAGGTCAACTCTGGATTTCATCTCGAAAAATGAGGTTGCGTCTTTTAAAATTCCAAGGGCAGTATCTATGAGGCTTCCCTTGGCTCATATCTGTTTATTGTCCTACGTTTCGAATGTTTTCTGTTTCACGGGTCCACTACATTTAAGGATTTAAACTTGTGGAAAATGAGGGGATGTTTTTATTGCCTTTAAACACCTTTTTCCTCGCCCGACGAACTGGGCTCACTTTTGAGATTTTTCTTGATCCATGGGCTGATAAAATTGTTGAAGAAAATTCAGGTGAGGGTTGCTGAGTACATACGTTTGGCATCCTTGGTGCATGGGCGACATCCGGCAAGAAGGCCAATTTTGACGAAAATCTTCCATCCCAAGTTTCTCAGTCTGGCTTATCAGGCCCCGACGAGATTTCCTTAGGGAATGTTCTCGAGGAGGAAGTAGTTACTGAGGATATTATGTCATTCAATACTAAAGAGGATTCAGGAAGAGTGCGATCAAGAGGTCGCAAAGACAAGGGTTTTAAGTGATCCCCTCCCTTAGCACAGGGAGTAGCGGATACCGCTGAGCAGTCTGGCGCAAAGACAAGGGTTTTAATGGATCCCCTCCCTTAGCACAGAAAGTAGCGGATCCCGCTGAGCAGTCCGGGCCTGGAGGCAGTCCGAATCAGTCAATAATTCTAACTTTTTATAGCATGTGCGACTTCTTCTAAAGAGGAACATTTTTTGGGGGACCCTGTTCCTGACCCATTGCAGTATTATAACAACGCGAGGACTACATTGTTGTCCATGAAAGACTACTTGGGGAGATTGTTGAGCGAGATCTCGATGCTCAAGGGATTGTGCAAAGCTGACCAATAGAAATTGAGAAGTTAAGTAAGGGGTCGGCTGCGTTCCTTGAGCCAGCTCTAAATTGACATGACCGCTCTGAAGGATGTCTCAGGAGAACTTTTTCCTCAAACCTCGTTGATTCGGTTAATCGGCCGAAAATCGGTCCACATCACCGAAATTTGCAACTCAACAAATTCTGATCGATTCCCGTGACCAGGAAATTTTTGGACCAATTCTGAATTGACATAAAAATGTGAAACGACCTGGATAAAAATTGCAATTTTCTCAATATTTATTTATTTAATTTTTAGAATACATGACGCATGTATATATATAAGACCACACAATTAATTGCCATGGCTGAGTTTGATCAAGACCAATCGAACTTTTTCAGCAAGCCTCGTGGAGGATTATAGTCAGAGTAATAAAGTCCGTCATCCTTAGCGGCCCAGTAGCACGTAAAGTCTTGGCAACCAGATCTGAATGGTTTGGCTTCGAACGCAATAAAGTGAATTTGCTTGGGGCCCCAAAACATATCACAGTAGAATAGTGTACTGAAATGGTTGGAGCAAAATTCAAACACGAATTGCTGATACGTGGCGAGCGTATGATTGCCCAAGTCATCATCTTTCGAAGCGCAATGCAACTGTAGCATTTGGGATTCCCGAGGAAGGTAGCTCACAATATACACAGTCATTGAATTCCCCATATTGCAGCGTTTGGCTGTAGCCAAGGTAATTATTTGGACAAGGATAGTTAAAATTATGAGGGCTTGAGATGATGAGTACTTTTCCATGGTATTAAGTAATTGTTTTTTCTGTTTGATTTGATTTGGTTTTTATAGGTAAGGTAGTTCGGTTGGATGAGGTTAAAAGGAAAGAAAGTTAACTAATTATATTTTGGAAATTTAGGAAATTTTGTTTTGGGATATTATTAGTGTAACAAAATTACAAGAATCCGGGAAGGTAGGATTGTCGTAGCGCGAAAATAATTCGCTAAATTGCGAAATCAAATTACAATAATTAAAGTCCAGAAATAACTCCTCTCTTAAGATGACTTTAATTATATAATTATATTATTATGTGAATTTAAATTTTAAAGTCAAACTTTAAAGTTCAACTATTAATTTAGTAATTTAAACATTTACTTAATTCCAAAGTCTAATTAATCAATCAGTTAATTAATTTATTATTTCATTTTTATGATTGGCATTCATCAAAATTAAATTTAATAAAATAATTAATTTTTTTTAATTTAAGTCTTGTCCATTGATCCAATTATTGGAAATATCAATTTAAAAAATTTCGTCATTCGAAAATTGGTGCGATCCTTTTAGATTCATAATTAACACTAGTATTGAGTTTACAACTCATTTGTAATTTTAATTAATCTATTAATTTATATTCTTGAAATTAACTCCTTAATTTCAAGAACTCATAAATTATGGTAACACCTAGCAAGTATCAATTTAGAAAATTTCGTCATCCGAAAATTGGTGCGATCCTTTGAGATTCATAATTAACACTAGTATTGAGTTTACAACTCACTTGTAATTTTAATTAATCTATTAATTTATATTCTTGAAATTAACTCCTTAATTTCAAGAACTCATAAATCATGCTAACACCTAGCAAGTAGCATGATTATCTAGTGTTAAATGAAATAGCGAGTAAATATTTTCAATTGCACGTGCATATATGTAAAATCTTTCCGACAACTAATTTCTCGATTAAATCTTGGGCATGGATTTATACGTTGAAAACCAATTGATTTGATAACCATGATTTCATATTATTTTGCTTGATTCTACATTGTTTTCAAATTCGATGTAAAAAGTATTTTTTCTACTAATGCATTTTACTTTTCTTGTATTTAATAGATAATTAAATGTATTGAA